TATTAGCAATCCATAGGTTGAAACCAGTATCAGCTAATAACCCTGGTAGATATGCAGGTTCATAAATAGAATCTCGCCATTAAATATATTTTAAAGATATTATTACCATGTCAGAGGACAGTAAAACAGAATTTTAAATAGGCGTATGCGAAACAATGTTATGATATGTCTCGGTCATCGCCAGTTTATCCCTGTACAAGCTGTAGCGTGAAGTAAAAGACGCGTCAAAAATGTTTGCACCTTACAATAGCTGTGGTACGAAAGGTTTGCATAAAAACGCCTTAACTCTCAGAACTGCCGAAATGCAGCGTACAGCGCTAGCCAAACATAAGTCTGATACAATCTGTACGTCCTGGGGCTTTCACATACCCAATTACCTAGTTTATTATCTAATATCGTTCAGAACCGTTTTTCAGACTGCTCCTCCACTCGGTTTGAGAGAGTCAAAGGACAAATGCATCGTCTAACAAGTAATTCCAGACGCACACTGATCGGGGTAAACAAGTACCAGACAGGTCTACGCTGAAAGAATTTTCTGCCTCTTTTAAGACTGAGGAGATACTTTTCGCTGACATCCCCGCGCTTAATGATTACGCTTGGTTAAGGATAAACGAAAGATGAAAATAAAATGACTCAGTTCATGCGTAATTTATTCATAGTATTATTTGGTACTTCTAGAATCAAAATCATGTTAAGTAATTTTCTGTAAAATGATACTCATAAAAATATGAATGCACTTTGTATCGCTGTAGTCATATTCTTTTACCTCATTAACTTTCTTCATCTTCTTTGTCTTATACATCGCATTTTTGCTCCTTTGGAACTCTACAATTATAATCTCGTCGAGATTTTACTGAAACTCTTTAGTGAAACCAAAACATGGATTTTCAACCGTAAAAACAGTTAGTCTCTTGGTGAGTTCTAGAAAAAGAGCGCATCCGATATTTTACGAATAAAAGAGTACCACAATGAATTAAAACAAATTTAACATAACAAGAAGTTATTAACGAACCTGCATTCCTACTTGCGCTACAGACTGCTCACTGAATGTCAAATCATCCGACTTTGTGACTATCCTTGAACAAATAGTGGACGCGTCGGTTTCGAGAATAACCCTAGAAAAACACCGATGGTCCATGTTATTTGCATTAGCTTTTGATTAAACATTTTGTTTGCAAAAGACATTCGGAATTTTGTCATGGAGGCATAGAGAAACCGGATCAGAGGGAAAGGTTCAATGAAAAATGTAATAAATTTTAAAAAACAAGTATCCAACAACAACCCATATAAACACGCGCTTTGTTCGATTCTTTGATTGCACCAACAGCATTCAAGAATCATTAGCAGAGACGACAAATAACTATAACCTGACTAACGACTCCAAAATATAAATCAAAGCGTCGACGGTGGCATACTACTTCAACAGATCATTACTTCCGCCTGTACTGCACAGAGAGTACCTAATTGATTACTTAATACGAGTATAGTGGATTCAACAGTAAATTTTAATACGACATAAAAGTAGCTTACGGGGTCAAAACTCACATTTGAAAGATATGAGCTCGACACAGCATAGGATTAGGATATATCCTTTCCTCCTGCCGTCGCAAATAAATGAATAGCACAATGTAGGAAGGAAAGAGACACTACACGCTATAATAATCACTCAGATAGCTAACCACTACAAAATAAAACAGTAAGATCTGATTGCACAGTTCGGGAATTTAGAGCCGCACCACACGATCCATGACGCTTATACAACTACAGCCGACTGACAACCCAAGTGTCAGTGATGAACTTCACTTTACTCTTCGTCTTAAAGATTCACCGTCACACTTCATTCAACTTACCCACTGTCACAGACTTCATCAATAGCTAGAATGACGACGTCCAAATTGTCCAAAAGCGCCTTTTTTTCGACGTTTTTCCGCAAAATTTGGCTGGTCGAGTCGTAAAGGCAGTTAAGAACGTGGAGAAGCATCAGCTTAAAACGAATCGGCGAAAACACCAAGATTGAAACAATAAACAGTACAATAATTTTCTCAATCGGCTACCTCATTTTCACCTCCGTCACCGATCACATAGAAGAAAAGGTCGACATTGGAGCGATAAAGACAAATAAGGCCATCCAGTAAAATCACCTCAGCTGAAACAAACGAACAAAGTCATGTTTACCTGCCAAAACTGAATATCAGGCGACCTACAATTAACTTTATTGGTTTTGCTGAAAAGCTTTGTCTCAAATGCCGCTTGTTCTTTCGTGCTTGAAAATGTTTCATCATAATACTACGAAAAAAAACAAACTAATGCAGAAAAGAAAATAACGTTGAAACAGTCAAAATACCTTGGCTATGATCCTCTTGCCGTCATTATCTAAAATTACAATGGCCTTGACAGTGTAGATATTCAGATCCTAAAAAAATATTAACAGAGTGCTAACTCGAACAAGAGGATTTACTTTCCGCATGATTTTCAGCGAAGAGTTACCGATTATTATGCCAATATTCCGAATAATCACAATCACTTCACAACTTGGAAGGTGCCACACTGTAAGATGCGATAATTCATACACTAGGGGAAAATTATACTGTACATTGTCAATGAACGTGAGAATCTATTCCTCCATAACATATCTTTCAAAATTATCAAATGTTTTGTCTTGGAAGTCATGTTGAAAAGGTGCAGAGAACAGTTATATTATATACAAAAATTCAACGATCTTTTAAGTGTCTACTGGTACAACTCCACCTCTTCCGGTCACAGACCCGGATGAGATAGGAGAAGGGTTGGAGACCGCGACAAATGTTTCGTTAAACCTACCCACCTACAAATCAAGGCATTGCCTTCATCGAGCATTATACCCCGCTAAGTCGACGTCCAGATTACCAATGGTTGCACATCTGCTGGGAGACTGAAACAGGCTACGAAAAGTCAGTGATCAGAGCTTCCTCATCGCTTTCTGGAAACCCAGGGCGTAGCAGCACAGTAACAACTTTCGAAAGTCGACAAAGCACCAACGAAAATACCAATACGCAACAGAGTCGCTACCTATTCTGAACGGATGAGACTACAGCGGACTGTCATTATAGCATGTCCGAAAAGGCTCCATGAGAACGACACCACGAGTGGGCGCTTATACAAATTGGAATACATCCTCCCTCAGCGCAGGAGTTAGTTGATGAGGCCATAAGGTACCATTTCGACATATTTTGGCTATCGT